CGATTTTGACATCCATCACTACCATCACGGCCTCTGGCTTTCAAGTCAAGAACACAAGCAGATTTGCCCTTACGCGTCCTCATACTTCGAAACCATCCCTCCCCCAGCTACCATTATTCCTAATCTCCATTACTTTGTCTCACGAGCCAAGTCTACCGTCGACACATCCCCTTATTATCCCTCCGGATTTTGAGCTTTCGACAAGATGGCGCCCTATAGCATGGTACTCCTTGGCGCCCTCTCAATCCTTGGGTTTGGGGCTTATGCTCAAGAGGCTGCGGTTGAGGAACCCCAGATATTTTTCAACTTGACCTACACGGAATATCTGGATAAGGTGGCAGCATCCCACGGGAGTTCCCAGACGAGTGATTTGCCGTGGAATGACACTATGAGCGGCTTTCCTGGGAACGAGACGGGCAGCAGCCTATCGAGGCGTGGTCGCATTGTCAACCTTGGAAAGCGTGACCCTGTCGGCGGGGAGTCTTTCAATGATCGTGTCACCAATGACATGCTCCAGGCGCTTCATGGTCTCTGCGTTGAAAATTTTGGCACAGGCTTTCGAGCGACTAATGGGTACTGTCGCGCTAACCGTCGGGCGACTAGGGAAATCCAATGTGCGCGCCCGGGTACCAGAGGGGCAGGCTCAGTGACCAGAACTTGCCCACAGAACCAGGAATGCACCACTTTCGTGGCGCACAACTTTCGTAGCCAGTCGCCTACCACGGACAAGTCTACTTTCCCTGTCTGTGGGCCCCGAATTGAGGTGAAGGAAAGACATGATATAGGGATCCACACGGAGTGGGATGGAATCTGGTACCCCGAATCGCCTAAATCGCCTGGGACCTACGATTCTTTCGCCCAGATGGCGGGCAGTCTTAATGGGTACTTCGACTTTGATGGTGCTTATCAAAGTGGAGAGGGCTTCAGCTCTCGGGGAAGTGGACACTCGTGGTCATGCATTAATTGCCCGGGAGGCAAGCTGACTATCACTAGCACGGTTCGCGCAACTTGGGCAATTGGATATACCAGCCCCCACTAAGTCGCGGTCTAAAGCCCTCCAAACACTACTTTCTCTATTTCGATTCACGGCCATTCATTTACTATTAGCCTAGAGGAAGTATTCAACATACTTTACTTGAAAGCTCTTTTAAGAATAACAACATTTGCGCAACCGCTAATATACTGTCGGGTATATTCACCCATGTTGGATCGTGTCGCCGACGCGTCTGTGGTTGATCGACTTGTCATGTTCTGGGTACAAAAACGCGATCTCCAGCGCATCGTAGATAGATGAATGTGGGAAACTCGATGCCGTAGGTATCGTATTCGTTACTTCTGGCCGAGTCTTCCTAGTAAATTGACCTTTTTGTTGAAGTAAAAGGGTTTATTGTTGTTATTGTTAGTTCTAAGTTACATATGTCTGAGAGGAGCACAGCTCCTTATATAGTATCTATATCCTAGCTACCAGCAGATCGGACCACCTTAGCTATACTGCCTTAATACTCCTACTCGAGCTGCTGTTGGACTCGATGTGCATGCCTATCGAGCCTCGTTAAAACCCTAAAAACACCTTCGTAGGTGAAAACTGCAGGGAAAGAGCTATCTCGATAAGGGCGCTTAGGATCTCTTAATGGTCTTATGTAATCTTAGAGCAGTGGGTCTTCTTCTGTCTGCAGAAGATCTCCCTCTAAGTTTATTTTTGCACCTTTCCTCTCAGTCTGATGCAATCCTGAACTTATTAGTCTTCTTCTATATATAGAAGATCTCCCACTGAAGCCTATCTCTGCAGGTCTTGTAAGCTTTCTTGGGACTATAGGTCTTCTTCTGTCTGCAGAAGATCTCCCTCTAAGTTCATTTTTGCACCTTTCCTCTTAGTCTGATATAATCCTGAACTTGTTGGTCTTCTTCTATACACAGAAGATCTCCTGCCTATGCCCATCTTTGCAGGTCTTGTGATCTTGTGATTATAGGTCTTCTATCCGCAGAAGGTCCCCTGCCTATATCTATCTCTGCAGGTCTTAAAATCTTTCTTAAAATCGCCGGTCTCCTGTCTATAATAGGTCTCCCACTTTAGTCCATCTTTGCACATTCCTTACGCTTAGCATAACCTTGAGATTATGGCTTTCCTTCTACTTGCTTAGAAGCTCTCCTACTCTACCTTACCTTTGCGCCTTCTTTATGTTTCTATGTAATCTTGGATCTGTGGGTCTCCTGTCTATCTATGGCAGGTCTCCTGTTTTGGTTTATCTCTGCACCTTCTTATAGTTATCATTCTTTAAGACTTAGTGCATTTCTAAATAGAAGGAAATAATCCTTTGGTAAGGCCTTTGTTAGGCCGTTGGCTACTTGTTTGCCTGTTGAAATATACTAGAACTTAATAGTTCTATTATTGACCTTCTCTCTGTAGTAATGATGCTGAATATTAATGTGCTTGGTTTTTGTATGGAACTGCGGATTCTTAGATATTGCGATTGCTCCTTGGTTGTCCCTGAAGATTATAGTTGTCTTTAGTTCTAGAACCTCCCTGTATTCTTTTAACAGCTCTTGGAGCAGACCTCGCAGCCAGACTGCTTCTTTTGCGGCTGCGGTTTGCCCTATGTATTCTGCTTTGCATAAAGATAGGGCTATAGTTCTTTGTCTCTTTGAGCTCTAACTGATAGCGCCTGTACCAAGGTTAAACACATATTTAGACGTTGATCTTCGAGTCTCTAGATCTCCTGCCTAATCTGAGTTAGTGTAGCCGAGGAGAGGTTGCAGTTCACCTTGGTATATTAGTTCTAGATTTTGCGATCCCTTGAGGTATTAAAAGATACGCTTAATAGCTGTCTGATGCTCGTTGGTTGGGTTTGCTAAGTATCGACTATATAAGGAGACAGCAAAAGTAATATCGGGTCTTATCCCTAGCATAAGATACATCAGGGACCCAATCGCCTTGGCATACTACTCTTTAAGTTCATCTACTGCCTTATAGTCAGGGCCTAGTTCTCTGAACTTGCTAGTTGAAACTGGTGTGGTATTGGGAGTGCACTGGTTTATTTTAAAGTCTCTAAGTACTTTCTCGAGGTAGGTCGTCTGCGATAAGAAAATTGATTGGTTTGCTCTGTCTCTTCTTAGAGATATGCCTAGGTAGTATTTGCATGGACCTAGGTTGGTTATCTTGAACTTATTGCATAGAGCTTGCTTGACTGCTATGATCTCGTCCTTGGAGGGCCTGGTAATAAGTAGATTGTCTATATAGACTGCAATGAACGTGTGACCTTTTATAAAGACTCCTATATCTGAAAGTAAAGCCTTGAACCCGAGCGTCTCGAGGAAGGTTGAGAGAGTCTTGTATTATACCCTTGGTGCTTGCTTTAGTTTATACAAGGCTCTTAGGAGCTTGCAGACTCTCCTACTTCTATCGTTGAATCCTTTGGGTTGCTGGATATATATCTCCTTATTTACGAGGCCATAGAGGAAGGCCATCTTGATATCCATCTGTTCTAGTTTTAAATTGAGTGCTGCTGCAATAGCGAATATTATCTTATAGCTTATCGGCTTAATAACAGAGGCGAAGGTTTTGTTAAAGTTAATTCCTTCCCTTTGCTTAAAACCTCTTATGATAAATCGCGCTTTATATCATAGAACTTGCCTATTTTCTCCTCTTTTGAGCTTGAATACCCATTTGCCTTGAAGGGCCTTTTGTCCTAGGGGAAGCGTGACTAAGGTCTAAACATCATTCTCGACCAGAGATCTATATTCATCCTTTAATCCTCCCCACCAGAGTTTTCCATATATACCCTATGTAGCTTCCTTAAAGGTTCTTAGCTCAGACTAATCAATATTATAAGCAACTAGATATAGTTATTCTGCAACCGTTGCTAGGAAGGCGAACTTTATGCTGGCTAATATATATCTCAATAGCAGCTATCCCCTGGTTAATCTTTCAGGCAGCTGAGACTCTGCATGCTCCTCTGTTTCTTCCGATGACACTTCGCGCTTATCTATGGCAATATGAATACTTAATCTGGTTGACTCTTGGTCTGGATCTTATTCTATATCTCCCACTGGGGGCTTATCCGGCGTCGTCTCTCCACGACCGGTTTCCCTGCTTCTGTTTGCCTCTCTCGATGCTATCAGGAGGGGCGACGGCTCTAGAACAATAGGATTTTCCGCATTGCTGTCCTCTTTGCTGATTACTTATTATCTCTGTAATAGTCTCTGATTATATATTTAATATATAAGATTATCAAGTATTAGTTTGATATTTTTAATAGTCTCAGAGAAGATAACATTATTAGATACAAAGACTTATCCCCTTTCATTAAGGAGTATATAGTTCATACTGCCCTGATAGCCGAGAAGCTGGCAGGGAATACTCTTTAACTATATCTTCTTTTATTTAGAGGATAGAAGCAGAGCCTATCCTTATAAGCTAAGAACTTGCAGATAGCTAAGGTCAGGAATATCTCTATATTAGGCTTAGTATAAGATAGTGGAAATGCTTGCCGTAGGATAGAGATTTCGGATGCAGTTTACTGCCTTAAGGAAGTACGGCTACTATTTTAAAGCGAGTCTGGATTTAAGCAGTGTCGGTGTAAGTTTTTCCAGGATGATTTAATTAAGGACTTTAGCCAATCCATTTTGTTTATGCTGTTCAGTTCCTGTGTAGGAGAGTTTGATTCCTCTGTCCCGGCATAGTCGGGTCAGGCTGTGGCTTTGGTTCTCTCCCCCTCGGTTAAGGTGCAGGAAGTGATATTATCTTTCCGGTCTCTCGAACTATAGTAACAGATAATAGAAATACTCTTTAAACTCTGACTATTCTTTAACTAGGTATACCTAGGATATTTAAGTAAAGTTATTAATAAGGCAAACCTAGTACCTGCTTCTATCTACTCCTATATCTGGGAATAGTCTGGTAATATCTGCATAAATATACTCTAGAGGGTAAGTGCCTTTCTTAATTAGTTGGATATGGGGATATTCCCTGAGTTTGCCCTATATGCAGGCTCTATATGGGTTTGAGGTAGAATTATCTAGTTGAATTCCAGTAGATATCTTTATCAGTCTCTTGATATTCCTCTCTCCCAAATATGCAAGTCGCTCGTGCCAAAGGTGTAGTTAAGGATCTCTCACCGAAAAGGAGGCCAAAGCGGTTTAAAAATGATCTTCCTTAGCTTTGTCGACTATATAGACACCTGAGATTCTTGTCGCAGTGAGGACGACTTTTCCCTTATTTGTGACCTCTGCCTTTCCATTTCGGAAGATAACCTCTGCACCCTTCTTCTCTAGTACTAACACGGATAAGAGGTTAGCGTGTCCTTCTGGAATATACAGAGCGCTATCAAGGGTAATATTATATGACCCCTTAGGCCCTTGCACGCGGAGGCAGTATATTCCACATCCTCCTGGTATGACTTTTGCATCCGTAATGCCGTTGATAGGTAATTTATAGTACTTTTAAAGGACTATAAAGTTCTTGTATTAGCAGAAAATATGCAAGGAGGCGCCACTATCTAAGACGTAGATCCGTTTAAGGGCCTAAGTTTAGAGGGATGCCTAGAGACTAGATAGTCCGAATAACAAGCCAATTAATCCAAGGTGACCTTGGAAGTCATTTTGCCAGAGAGCCAGTTGAGCTTAATCAGGTTGAAGGTATGCAGGAGTTATATATATGGCAGATTCCAGTTTATTAGTTATCTTCTCCCTGTCCTTCTCTTAACTCTGCATTTTCCATTATCATCTCTTATAACCAGCTTTGCTATACTCTCTTCTAAGTTCAGGGTAAAGCTTCTAGCAAGTTGACTTATTATGCCCTTTTCTTCTACAGTGTCCACAGCATAGGGTGCCCTAGGCTACTATAGCTCTATGTATAATCCTTGCAGTAGCTCCTCTTTGTCTATCCTCTTCCTGAGATGCAGCAAAGATAGCCGTTTCGAACATAACGGCCTCTTTAAGAATAACATTATAATTATTTAGATCTCGGATAGGAAGAATGTTATAATTCTAATTAAATGCAGTAAGGAAGACTTTATAGTCTGGGCCAAGTCCGCAGAGGAACTTATTAACAAAGTGTAGTTCCCCTATTTAGCAGATTTTATCTATCTCTAAGAGTTTAGCCCTTACTTAATAAAGCTTATTTGCATATTCTATAACCGAATTACAAGAGTTAAGGGTAAGTTCTTAATATCTTTGGTTAAGCTCTTAGAAGATAGCGCTTCTAACAGGGTAATACCGGGTTTCAAGGTAACTAATTATACCCTGTGCTATTAGGATCCCTATGGTAAATACTCGGGCGTTATAGCCGAGTCGACTTCAAATGGCGCCGCATGCTCAATCCTGGCGGCTCCTCTAGGCCTTAATCTGAGTTGCAAGATCATTCCCCTCTGTTAATGGTTAAGCATATGTTCCTAGTCAGAAGATCTCCATATCTACACATATCCAGAAGGTCAAGTATTTCTCTCTTCCAGGTCAGCCAGTGGCTGGTTTGCTCTAGCTTTGGAATGGTGCCGGAGCTGCCTACGAGGTTAAGAGATTCCTTGGAGAGGGACATAATAGATTCTCGGGGAGGCTGATAATCAAGGTACAGAGGGACAGACGGCTATCGACAATTCTTTAGTCAAGGCTTAGGGGGGAGTCTTTCCTTCGTCAGGCAATATAATAATACCGCATAAATAGGGGTTATCCGAGCCAGGTAAAGACTATCTAAAAGGTAAAACGCATAGCAGTCTCAGTCATTTATATCATTCCCGCTGTCAGGAGAAGAGACAATGATCTAAGGTTAACTATATTATAAACCACGTTTCAGGCGGTCTTAGTCTGTGAGGGCGCAGGTCACCCGACCAAGGAGCTTTAATAATCTTAGACAAAGGGACCAGTCTAGTTGGGCAAGTTCATCAGCCAGACTATAATCTAAAGTCTCTTAATTATTTAAGATTAATAATTTAAATTTGGTGTCTTAGATAGAGGGTTAAAGGGTCCTTCTAAAAAGGTTTCTAGATATATCCTATTAGTTAATTTCCAAACTCTATAAAATATCCAATAAAGGAAAAATAGCTCCAGGTAAGCTAAATATATATACGCAGTAGAAGGAAGCCTTTCGACTTCTTATACTATCTAGGAAAATTAGAAAAGAAGACAGAAAACACTCAGCTTTGCGGTTGGAGAAAAGGTAGTGCCCTCCGGGCTTATAACCTGTTAAAGTAAAAGGGTTGATTATTGTTATTGTTAGTTCTAAGTTACATATGTCTGAGAGGAGCACAGCTCCTTACATAGTATCCACATCCTAGCCACCAGCAGATCGGACCACCTTAGCCATACTGTCTCAACATTACAGTGGGGTGCAAAAAGTATTCGCAGGCGTATGTAAGTGTGTAGGTAAAGAAGTCTTATTGATAGCTGGTGAGCTAAGTTCTATGAAAGTGCTAATGAGTGTGGTCTATATACTAGTGAGTGATAATAGTGATCAGTGAGGTTGTCGCGGGATCAGTGGTGATCGTGGTGGATCAGTTACTAGAAGTGATTGTTTGGAAAAACGCCGGTAGATTGCAAGGGTGGCACGGACGGAAATTGAATAATGCGGCGCGATTTGGATGAACATAGTACTGTTTCGCGATTGTGTGTCTACAGTCTCCTCACAGTGCTCAGCTTTGTCTATTGGCCGCGGTTCCAAAAATGCAAAAGAATCTGAATCAGTTCGATGAACGTGATTGCCTCGGCGGCTGATTCTTTGCCATGACTCTGGTACAGAGTTTCGCTCAATCAGTTTTGAAACCACGTGACTGTCCGGATATGCTCGGATGGCTAGCGACACGTGATCTCCGAAGGAAAGTCACCCTAACAACGCTAGCCCGCAAGGCAAAGGAACAACAACAACAACTAAACAATCACAACAACGACGCCGCAAATATAGAGTAGACGCTCAACAACACGAGCGCAGTTACTGAGAGGCATCGCCACGGCTAACAATGACAGACTCTCAGGACTCTGATCAGCGCATCGTCAATTGGCTTTTCACAATTCAGAACTCCTTGCCTACTGATCCATCTCCACCTCCAGGCCCCAGCTCGAAGAAAGACGCCCTCGAGGACATCACATATAAGCATCCTGCGAAGCGCCTCTTGTCGCCTCCAATGACAGAGGACGGTGGCTCACTTTCTAAACGGCCCCGGCCGGACCCCAATGCAACTCCACGTAGGACGTTACCGTTAAGGCGAGGTGATTCAATATCATTGTCGTCGTCCGGAGTCAGCGACGCAAACTCCGAATCAATGCATAAACGGGTCCGAACTGCTAGAAGTGGCAACAGCAGCCCAACAAAGAGGGGAATTTCTGCTATGCGTATGGACGGGCTCATCACTCATCCGTCGTTTGATGGCTCCGAGCCACTTCCCGATGCCCTTGATAACATAGTGCAAGATATAAAGCGTGATAGCGGTGGCTTCGATATCATGACTGCTGCAGATAAGGTAAGTAGGCGGACAATTTTAACATGAGAGTTCTGATATTAACGTTTGGACCAGATCGAGTTTGAAAAAAGAGCGAGTGCAGGCGGGAATCACGTACATTTATTTCAGAAAGCTCTCAAGCCAGATCCGGTGGATAAGTCAGGGGTTAGAGAGGCCTTGGGCAGACTCCCACCTGTGGACGCTCTCGTCGAGACATGGCAAAAGGCCGAGAGGTGCCAAAACCATAGCCATTCTGAAGCAGGTTGGAATTGCGCCGTGCATTATCCTTTGATGGAGTTGGCGCTTAAGTACGCCAATGTCACTACACATGCGACTGCGGACGTTACTGCAAACCAAGAAGAGATCTTGATTGACGTTATTAATGCGTGAGTAACCAGGATTTGGGGGTCATGGAGATACTGATATTAAACCATGTTACAGCACGACTGCACAGATCTCCCCTATGTATGCTCCAAATACATTAGCCATGCAGCACAAGAAGAGAGTCGACTTTTGTTTCATGGTCGAGTCAATCGAGAAAACCAAAGCAGCAACTTGCCTCTCCGACAAATCACTACTCTCACCAAACGATTCCGTCAATCATACAGACTTTGTTCCACTTCGTGCCTGCCCTATCAGCGTGAGCATCGAGACAAAACTCACCGGTGAAGAGTGGCAATCCGCCATGGCACAACAGACTGTATGGCTCTCGGCTCACTGGAACTGCCTCGACCGACTCACAGGCGACTCTAAGGTCGCGCGTGATGAGCTATGCTTCTTACCGGCGATTATCGTGCAAGGGCATGACTGGACATTCCTGGCTGCAACAAGGGGCGAAATGATCGAGGGGAGGAATGATAGGCAGACTATAATCTGGAATAAGATAGGCTTCGGGTCGACTACTGGACTGAAGGGGATATGTCAGATCATCAAAGTTCTGCAGAGGCTAGCGCTGTGGTCACAAAGGACGTATTGGCCTTGGTTTAGGAAGTACGCCATGAATAATCTTGAAGGATAGCAGGAGCTGGATTTGACGAATAGCGAGTTGACTAAGTCTCGGTACATACTCTGCCTCCACCGAGTGGCCTTTTGCGCGTACAAGCCTTTGAGAGGGGTTTAAAGACGTCTATGAATTCGTAGCTATTTAGCTCTGGTTCTAGTTACAATTGCTCACTGGCCCATCTCACGACGATGAGAGTCAAGGATTTAGTCTTCTGCGGCAGCGAATTTGATTCTCGTGTTGTGCTGAACTCCGGCCTTTGCCAGTGTCAGATGATTGCCATCTTTGCCTCTGTGCTGGGGAAAGTGTTGAGAGGAACAAAATAGCCCAGTGACCCTCCAATCTAAGACTGAGGATCTTCTTGGTCACCATCTGCAGTGCTGGATAGCCACGCGTGTTGTTTCATACTGTTTCATATGAAACTGAAACAGTCCCTGGACCCGGTTTCGTATGAAACAGTAACTCACCCAGTTTCATATGTTTCATATACGCCCGATGAGTCCCAAATATCTTAGTACTTAACCAAGAAATTTTCGCAAACCAAATGCCTTTAATGCAGTTAGAAACTTGCTAATAGTAAATATGTGTCGCATATCACCATTAGGTTCGTGCGACTGGATGTGAAACGCGGCCCGTACTTTAGAGTCGTGTCTCCGGTTTTACGTCCGGCTTGTCGCATCAAGGACTCCAATCCTAACGACATGAGCTTAAATAGCTGTGCCCGAACACATGGCTGTTCAATTTCATTTGTTCTTTAGATAATTCTCATCAATTGACTGGTGCCACCACTGATCCCTATGGAATTAATTGTCCGACAATATGTCATCAGCTTCGCCCGCTCCCTTGTTATCGGAGCCTTCTGATGAGCTCTTAGGGCCTGCTTCGCCTGGTTCTCCCGTTCCCGCGAAGCGCACATTGGATCGCTCTCCCTCTGATCGGGCTGGCAAGCGCGCCAAAGGCCGTACAAACAAAAGCACTTGGAACGAGGCGCGTGGCCCTTATGAAGAGAGAGGGGAGAAAGCCCGCGATGCCTCATACCACGAAATTTGGTACTGCAAGCATTGCGACTCCACGAAAAAGCCTAATTCGGTAACGACGAACCTGAGTCGAGCCCGCAAGCACCTGCGGGACTTTTATGGCATCCGGGCGATAGAGCATGTGGAAAGGACGGATCTGAAGAAGCAGCAACATGGCACCATTACGGACTTGTTCGGAAGGCAGGAGGAACGTCAAGCCAATCGAGACCTTAATGAGGAAAAATATTTGGCAAACGCTATTAATATTCCTGCATTCGAGGAAGCACTCGCCAGACTTCTTGCGGTTCGCAATATCGCCCATACATTCATCGAGTACCCTGAGTTTCATGCTGTTATACTCTCCTGCAACTATATGGCCCGGGACGTCCTCCTACGCAGCCGCAGAGCGGTGCCGAAGCTTCTCAAGAAGACTTTCGCTCAACACAAACAAGGGCTCGTTAAGAAGCTTCATAATTCTCTCTCATCTATGGTCCACTTCACCATTGACATGTGGACCTCATCAGAACAGAAGGCGGCATACCAAGCAATCGTGGTCCATTTTGTAGATGCGGAGACGAGAGGAGTCGCTCAAGCGTTATTGTCACTGCGCGAGTTCAAAGGAAGCCACAACGGGAAATTGCAAGCCAAGGCTTTCCTGGAGGTTGTCGAAGAGTACGATCTCGGAGGAAAGGTTGGCTACTTTACGATGGATAACCACGACGCTAACGACACTATGCTTGGCGATATCGCAAGAGAGATTGATGGTTTAGATCCGGTTGCCAGGCGACTACGCTGCAGTGGCCACATCATGAACCTCATCGTTCAAGCCTTCCTCTTTCGGAGTAAAGCAAAGAAGATTTAGGAGGATGAGAGAGAGGGGATTGATGAGGCGTATGAGCGGCTGTGCAGGCTATCCGAAAGAGAAGAAGGGGGCATTATTACGAAGGCACAAGCTACCGAGGAATGGCGGGAGTTTAGTGTTCTGGGGAAACTCCACAACTTGTGCATATATTCAAGGAGCTCTACCAGCATTTACAACGACTTCAAGGCCGAGATTGGCAGGGCCTTGCCGAGGGACAATGACACACGTTGGAATTCATGGTTTCGCCTCATTGACGTGGCAATTGAGAATCGGGCAAAGTTCATGGATTGGATTCAAGAAAATCATGCCAAAATCGAGAAAGATGCACTGGACCACAACGACTGGAACGAACTAGGAGATATTCATGCGTTCTTATAAGTATTCCACCAGATCTCGGTGCGCCAAGGCCGGGAGAATACACTCGATGAAGTTCTCTCCCATATGGATTTCCTCCATCATCACTTCACGCGGACTAAAAACCGGGCTTTCAGTGGCCCACGCTTCTACGCGCGCTTTCACGTGGCTTGGCTAAAGTTCGAGAAGTATTACCAGCTTACCGAACAAGCCCCGGTGTACGTGGCCGGTATTCTCCTCCACCCAGCACTCCGAAAGAGCTATCTGAGTGAGCAGTGGAAGAGAAACCCAGCCTGGGTCAGCAATGCCGTGAAGGCTGTAAGGAAGATCTGGTCCACAGACTACAAGAGCTACCAGCTCCCAGATGAACAACAGGAGAAAGAGCAAGAACTCGATGAGTTTGATCGCTGGAGGCAGAAGGTGTACAGCACAGCGAGTGAGGTGAAGGATGAATTCGACCGCTTTATTTATGTAAGTAATTTGAAGCCTTCTAATGGCCTGGTTTTGATGATACTTCGCAGGGCTCACAGGTTGGGATTGGACAACAAACGGCCTTGCAGTGGTGGCTTGAACCGACCCAGCGAGAGAATTTCCCCCTCCTCTGCCGTATGGCTATTGACATATTCTGCATCCCCCCCATGTCTACGGAAGCAGAGCGAATCTTCTCAGGCGCAAGACGGCAGGTAACCTGCCGCAGGTTAGATGGGATAGAAGTAGCATGTCTGCCAAAATGGTAGAGGCATGTGAGTGCATTAAAAGTTGAATAAGTGTTCCAAAGGGAAAGAGCAGGCCGCTTCTTGCAGGGGTGTTTAGGGAAGCGGAGGATATCGACGCGGCTGTAAGGATACTCCAAGAAGATATAGAGAGGAGTAAGGGGGCAGAAGGTGATGGCGAGCCTAGGGAATTGGTAGTGTAGGTAGGCAGACAATGCCAAACATCTTTGGGGTACTTGGAGATAAGGTGTATATCGATGCCTAGCTTGTCAAAAAATTGGACTGCAACTGGATATTGTTTCGTATGAAACTGAAACCGGTTCATATGAAACTGAAACTATACTGACGCCCGGTTTCATGAAACCGAAACTCCCCCCAGTTTCAGTTTCATAGCGTGGCTATCCAGCACTGATACCGACAACGACAGCGAGAGCGAGAATCACAACTGGAATCGCACCAAGAAGCCCACAACGACACGTCTGAACGACAAGGCGAGGATGACGTATCACAAGATCAACCGAGCGTTCGTGCTCC